TTTAGCATAAATTCCTAAAATTGAAATTGCATAGTTTACATATTTTAAATTTTTGATGCGTATTGTCTGACCACTTTCTGTTGTGTTTCTTGGTTTTAGCTCTCTGTTTTGCTCCTCCCCATCTTCTGGGTTTGGGATAAAGAATGGAATCCTCTTTGATTTTGGTTGTCTTTCCTTTCCCCAACTTTCAGCAAATTTAGGCTGCCTACTTGCTTTTCACTGTCTGACTCAGTCTAGTTTATCTTGATGTCTATGTGACCTGTGTAGATTTGCTTTCCTTTCTCCATTAGGCTCCAGCTGAAGCACTCTTTGAGTTTTAGAAACTTTGTGAGCCCCTCCATTTTATTAAGCCACTTTGATCTTTCTGTGTATGCACATTTGCATGTGTCTGCTTACACATTCATGCATGCAGAGAGGTACTCGCTAGACTTACAGTCTTCCTGATTATAAGGCCTTTGCTTTCTTTTTTTATCCCTCTGTTTTAGAATGTAAACTGTAAAGAGCCATTGAACCTCAAGTTTATCTTGCCAGGCAGCTAGTTTCTGGCAGGGTTTCCAGTAGGTTAATAGGGAGTAGCCTCATTCTGGGAAGTGTTATAGGAGCTGCATGAAGCCTTGGCCCCTTGTCAGAGAGCTTGGGGGAGATGTTCTGTGGCAGCTCCTCCACATCACTGTCCTTTCCCTTGAAGAAGAAAAAGGGCTCTATCCTTCACACATGGTGCTTTGTCATTCCTTTGAAAGAATGAGGTGAAGTTGGGGGTAAACTCTTGATTTCCTAGGCCCTCTGCAGACTCAATTGTCATCTATTTTTCCATCACCCTTGTAGCAAATGTTTTTCATCCATTGTAGAAACTTTTCTTACACCCTGCAAAACTAAACAAACGTGAGCATAGTATATTACTATTAGCTATCACTTGTTAAGCACCTGTTCTGTGCTGAGCCCTGTCCTAAACACTTTATATTTTATTTGGTCTCCTAGTAACCCTATGAAATAGATAATATTCAAGTTTTATAGATAACAAGATTCAGAAGGGTTAAGTGACTTCAGCTAATAGATAACCGATTTGGAATTCAGAATAACCTAGATCTCTCCCAACTCCAAAACTGCAGAGGTTGGACTTTAGACTTTCTTGGACATGAATAGATGAAACCTTTTCTGGATGATGGAAGTGGAGAGAATGGCAAAGGAATAGATAAAAATAATTCTTAAAGATTTTAGCCAGCCCTCAGATTCCACAGGAAAAACTCAGATCTGCAGGTTGCAGGTCAGTTTACTCTTGTGTCGTACCAAACTCATTGCCCTCAGTGTACAGAGCTGATTCTCTTCATATCACTGCTTCTCAAACTTCAGTGGACTTGGAGATCTTGGGAAACTACAGATTCTGATTTAGACCTAGGGCAGGGCCTGAGATTCTTTGTTTCTAATAAGCTCCCAGGTGCTTCTTTGAATAACGAGTCTAGATCAGTGATTGTGAAACCTGGGCAGTAAACAGAGTCTCCTGGAAATTCTTGGGGGATAATTCCGTTTTCTTGACCTCAAACTCAAGTTTCTTTTGTTTTGTTTTTTTAAATCCTCATTTGAGGACATGCTTAGAGAGAGGAAGGGAGGGAGGAACATTGATCAGCTGCCTTCTGTATGTGCCCTAATCAGGGACCAAACCTACAACCCAGGTATGTGTGTTGACTGGGAGTTGAACTGGCAACCTTTTGGTGCACAGGAAGACACTCAACCAACTGAGCCACTCTTGTCAGGCAAATTGATTAATTTCTAATTGGAGGAGTTTCAGAGTAGGGCCTGGAAATTGTTTTTGTTTTGTAGTTTTTAATTTTTTTTTTTTTTTAAAGAAAATTCCTCGGGTTATTATAATAATTTGGGAATCACTGGTCTAGCAACTAACATATTATGAATACATTGTCCACACAACACAGAGGTGTAAATGGACAGTTAATTTTGCTTCATTAAACATTTGAAGGCTTGAGTTAGAGATTATTTATTTAAAAGAGTAAGAAACCCTTCTTTTTAGAAGGGCTAGTTTACAAACCCCAAGAGGAGGAAGTATCCCCGAATCTCAGAAGGAAATAACTAGGAATTGGAGAGCCACTAGGAATGAAGGATGGCCATACTTCCTCTCTTCTGTTTTCTTTCTCTGGGGAATTTCGGCTTTGGTAGAAAATGGCCACCCAGACAGTCTAGTGCCATCAGCCAGTTCCACATTTCTGAGAGAATTTTTTTTTTTTTAATCCTCACCTGAGGATATTTTTCCATCTATTTTCAGACAGAGTGGGAGGGGGAGAGAGAGAGAGAGAGAAAGAAACATCGATGTGAGAGAGACATACTGGTTAGTTGCTTCCTGCATGACCCTGACCAGGGCTGGGTACTGAACTGCAACTGAGGTACATGCCCTTGACCGGAATCAAACCCTCGACTCTGGTCTGCAGGCCAATGCTCCTAACTGCTGAGCCAAACTGGCCAGGGCTCTGAGAGAATTTGAATGATGTAATCGAATCTAGCCTTAACTGGTTCTCCCTGAGCCAGGAGACCACCCCTGGACAGTGCTCCGCTCGAGTGCAGGGAAAAAGTGATTACTGCACGTGCTTACTATGTAGCTTTGCATTTATTGGGGCGGGATTATAGAACCAAATAGATAAATCCCCTGCTCTTGAAATTGGGAGGGCCTTATTAGCTTAATGGAGAAGAGGGACAAGATTTTAAATCACTATGATGTGATCTAAATTGTGGGTAAACAGCTATCCTGAGAGCTTACAAGAGAAGAACTCACCCTGATGGGGTAGTTCAGTTGGTTACATTGTTGTCCCAATACTCCAAGGTTGCGAGTTCAGTCTCTGGTCAGAACATGTACAAGAATCAGCCACTGAATGCATTAATATGGAACAACAAATCAGATATCTCTCTCTCACTTCCTCCCTAAAATCAATAAATAAAAATAGAAAGAGAGAGAGGAACTTAACAAGCCTAGACATTTAGAGACATGTCCAACCTGAATCATGAAAGATTAGCCAGGTAGAGGGAAAAGAGTATGGGAAAGTATTTCTGGCATTACGAACAGCATGAGCATGAAACAAAATAATTATACTTCATTGATTATTTTTGTATGAATAATAAGCAGCATTTATTTATGGAACATAAGGTCCAAGCAAAATGTGAAGCTGGAGAGATAGGTGGGAGCCAGATTAAGGAGAATCTTTATGCCATGCTAAGGAGCTTGGATGTAGGTAAAGGGATAGATACCTTTGGTTATTTATTTAAAATAACATGGGCCCTGGCCGGTTTGGCTCAGTGGTTGGAGCATTAGCCTGAGGACCAGAGAGTCCTGGGTTTGGTTCCCGCTAGGGGCACATACCAAAAAAAGATACTAATAAAAAATTTTAAAATAAATAAAATGACATGGGAGGATTCCCATTTTTATGAATATGACTGGTTATAGTATGGAGAAGAGTTTTGATGGTGACCTTCCTTGGAAGCACAAAGAGTAGTTGCAATTGTCCAGAGGAGAGGCGGTGAGAGGATGGAAAGGAAAGAGTCAACTGTAAGAATATTTAGGAGGTAGATTTGGCAGGACTGGATTGGATGATGGAATGTGGGAGAAAGAGAAGTCTAGGATAAATCCCAGGCTTGGGTGCCCGGGTGGATTGTGGCATTAGATGAAATGAGCAGTTTAGGGAGGAAGATAATTTCTTTAGACATACTGAGTTGCAAGTTAGGCTGGGGGTCTGCCTTATGTAGTCTGCCTTAGGGGCTTACATTGTAGATTCAGGAGTGGTAGTTTCCCACTCCCCACTTCACCTCCTTTGTAAAATGTTTCCTCAGCCCTCTCTCCCTGACACTCTTATTCCAGCTATTCCTCCTTTCCTTTTTATATTTTAAGTTTAAGGCTTATCTAGTTTTTCTTTATGTGCAAGCAATAGCTTACATTATACAAAGATTTGACATGATTTGGCTTTGCCACAAGAATTGTTGACAGGATTTTAAATCAACTTCCAAGACTATAAGGTATATGAGGTCAGAGATTATTTCTCTCTTATTCATAGTTACAATCCTAGCACCTAGAATACTACTTGGCATTTAGTTGGTGCTGAATGGAGAGAATCATTAAATCACATAAAGAGTGGAAGAGATGACTGTCTGGAATGCTCTTTCTCTAAGACTGATCTTTCCCATAAAACATTTCTCTAAGTTGAATCTTGGAGAGTGAAAAGGGGTTAGATTGATAAAGGGGTGGAAAAGAATATTTTAGGAAGATGCAGCAGCGTGAGCAAAGGCATGGAGGCAAAGAACAGAATGATGTGTGATAGAGATAAGCAGTGAGATATTAATAGCTCTTACCTTGTCGTATGTCTCAGGTCACTCCAGCAAAGGTAGTAACATTTATAGGTACGTTTAATAGTGGTTTTGATGTGTTCTGGGAATTGTGTTTTGTTTTTTGTAAGTTTCTAGGCTTGTGTAGATAAGAATTTAATATCTAAAATAGGCCCAAACTGACAGAAAACCTTTAGTCGGGTTCTTTTTTTTTTTTTAATTTTAGAAAGGAGAAAGAAAAAAAACAACATCGATTTGTTGTTCCACTCATTTATGCATTCATTCATTGGTTGACTGTTTATGTTCCCTGACCCGGGATCATACCCACAGCGTTGGCATATGTGAATGATGCTCCAGTCAATAAAACTACCTGACCAGGGCTAGTCAGATTCTTTAGGTCCATAATCTAATGCAAGTCCTCTTTTGAATCTGTCTTTGAATCCCAAGCAAAATTTACTGCTTCCTAATCTGTGTTCTTGTAACATATTATCTTGTCTCTGTTATATTATTTTCTAGTTTCATTTGACTAGTAACCCTGCAAATGCCTCTAATAATTCCCAGTATCTAGCATGCAGTAGGCATTAGTTAAATGTTTCATGGATAATGGAGTGAATGGAAGTTTGTACTCAGGGTCAACCACATTAAAGAGGAACTATTTAGCTTGTATCCCTTTTCTCTTACAGCTCTTTGTAGTAGATGTCCAGACAAGCCAGATTACCAAGATTCCCATTCTGAAGGACCGGGAGCCTGGAGGTATAACCCAGCAGGGCTGTGGTATCCATGCCATTGAGCTGAATCCCTCTAGAACACTGTTAGCCACTGGAGGAGACAACCCCAACAGTCTTGCCATCTACCGGCTGCCTACACTAGATCCTGTGTGTGTAGGAGATGTAAGTTTCCCTAGGAGTTATAGTTAGAGGTAGCCTTGTTTTTCCACAGAGCCTAGTAGGTTGCATGGACCCTCTTCCCATAGCCCTTGGGAAGGGATAGTTTCCTGTAGATTTCTGCTGACTCTAGGGGGGTGGGGGTGAGATGTGGAGGTGGAGATTCAGAATAGGGCCTGGACTCCCCATAGGTAGCATCAGGTATATTGACAGAGAGTATTTGTTTGAACGGGCAGGAGCAGTATACCTCAGGGGCCAGCAACAGTGGGTTAGTGTTTCAGTCCACTTTCCACACACCATCCATCTGCACATAGTTAGAGAGCAAAGGTTGTTAAATCATTCAGCAGCTATTTATTGAGACTTGTATGGCCAGCCATTATATTAGATACTTGGGGCCCAGCAGTGCATAAAAGAGATAAAGCCCCATCCTCTTGAAGCCTGCATTCTAGTGAAGGGCTAGATACTCACCAGCAGTATGTCAGAGTTGATAACTGCCATGGAGAAGAGTAAAGGAAGGCTAAAGCAATGAAAGTGTGGTGGAGAATGCTATTTCAGAAGTTAGACTCACTGATAAGAATGACATTTGAGCAGGAAGGCTTAAAGAAAATGAGAGTGCAAGCCATGTTGAAGTATAGAGGTAGAGAGTTCCAGACAGAAGGAACAGCAAAGAGGACAGTTATAGCTGTTGTCCCAGGAAGCAAGGGAGAAGAAGGTATGATGAGGTTGGAGGGATGAGAAGTGAGTGATTGTATGTAGAAGCCCCAAATAAGTTACCCAGAGATGGAAGGCCAGATCTGTGTGTCTAGCAGATAGGCTTATTGTCCACTGGAATGCCAGTTTTATCCCAGCCTTGAGCTCCTCAAGACAGAAGTGAAAGATTATGGGGTCATATCCTATGTGTTAAAATCACTAGAGATCAGAGTTGTAATTTTTACAAAAATATTTTCAGTCAGACTTGTATGCTTTTCAAAAGTGTGCATTATAATTCTTATTTTACTAATTTCCTCCCCCCCCCTCCCCCGCCCCGTACCTGTCATTCCCTTTCCAAGGATGGGCACAAGGACTGGATCTTCTCTATCGCATGGATCAATGACACCATGGCTGTGTCTGGTAAAGTTGCCTTTTTGTAGGGAGTTTTGGTGTGGTAGGGAGGGAGGGAAGCTAGAAATTGAAAAGGGATAGTAGTGTGAATGAAAATAGCCCAGTAAACAGACAATCAACCAGGTGTCAGGAGATCTTGTTTCTAATATTGGCTCTTTCTCTAGCTTACCACCTTGACCTTGGATAATTCATTTCCCTTGTATATTCCTGTATATTACTGGTATGTTTCATTTATTTTTCATACTCTGCCTTGTTCCCAAAAAGCATGTATAATGGCATATAGCCTAACGTTTTTGTGGGGCTTCATTAAAATAATGGTTGTTGCCCTAGCCAGTTTGGCTCAGCAGTTAGAGCGTCAGCCCATGGACCAGAGAGTCCTGGCTTCAGTTTCCGCTAAGGGCAAGTATCTCAGTTGTAGTTTGTCCCCGGCCTCCTTGGGATCATGTGGGTGGCAGCTAGTTGATGTGTCTTTCTCGCATTGATGTTTCTCTCTCTTCCTCCCTCCCTCTCTCTCTCTCACTCTGGCTAAAGATAAATGCAAAAATGTCCTTGGGTGAGGATAAAAATAAATAAATAAATAATAATAATGGTCGTTAACATGTTTTGGAAAAGTTGACATGCTCTATAAAGTATTAGGAGCACTTATCATTTTTCTGTACAATTTAACTATATAGTGTTAAATTTGTTATTGATAAAAGCTGTATATTTCTTTCCCAGTGGTAGAATGGTCAGAAAAATATATGGAAATGAGTGTAGAGAAGATAACCTAGAGATACACAAATACTTTCTAGATATCCACAGTAGCCTAGGAGGTAGGCTCAGTGCTAACCATTTTTACTGCGTATTCATATGTAAAAATATAATCCCCCACTCCAGCTTTCCAAATAAAAATAATCTTATTAGTTGCTAAAATAAGTACTTCACATATGTTATCATATAATCCTCAGGACAATACTAGAGGGTTTGCATTATTAGCCTCATTTCACAAATGAGAAAATTTAGATTCTGAGAGATTATTACTATAACTTGCCAAGACCACACAAATAGTGAGAGATGGAGTCAGGATCTGAGTCCAGGTCTGATTTCAAAGCCCATACTTAAAACTGCTACAAGTAAAGCTAAGGGAACATAAATGTTTCTTCTTTCAATTCTTTGCAAGGCAATAGAAAGCAGCCAGGAGGGAAAATAAATCTAACAAGCATATTCACAGGTCAAAATTACCCAACAGTGGTTTAGAAGTTTTTGGATTCCCTGTTATTTGTTTCTACAAGGAATGAGAGGGCCAAGGCTGTCATGTCACCTCTATAGTAGGGACTATTTGTATGTCAGTAACCTGCACTAAATTTGGTTGGTGGAAGCCAGAACTGATCTGTGTTTGGGATCCTCCCATTTCTTTCACATACCCTGCCAGTGTCCTATTTTCAAGCTGATAACTCCCAAGTGTGCATTTCCTGAACAATAACAACAGGATTTTTTGTTTTTGTTTTTTATCCTCACCAGAGGACATTTTTGCATTTATCTTGAGATAGAGTGGGGGAGAGAGAGAGAAACATCGATGTGAAAGAGACACATCGAGTGGCTGCCACCCACACAACCCCAATGGGGGCCTGGGACAAACTGCAACTGAGGTACGTGCCCCTAGCGGGAACTGAATCTGGGCCTCTCTGGTCAGCGGGCCAATGCTCCAACCACTGAGCCAAACTGGCCAGGGCAACAGCAGGTTTTGCCACTGCTATTAGAGACCTGAATTTGAATCCTGGTCCTCCCACTTATTAGCACTCTGATCTTGAACAAGTTACTTAAATTTTTTGAAAGAGGCTTGGGTTTCCTCATCTGTAACATGGATATGATTATATACACTTAAGAGGGTCACTGGGAAGATTAAATGAGATAATGCATAGTGGCTGCCATATTGAAAATGCTCAATACTTGTTCATCAGGGCTAATATTCAGGCTTGATGATAGGCATCAACTCCTGAACATTCCACCTCAAAATCAGTGTATTCAAACTCATCCATTTCCCTTCCAAGACTCCCCCTCCCTTGACATATATTGGTGAGTGCTCCCACCTTCCACCCAGTTGAAAAGCCGGAGAACAAAGACTCATCTTAGACTCTTTAGTTTTCTTAGATTACCAAACCATGTTGATAATTGTTTTCTAAAATATCTCTATATCCATCAGTTTTTTTCTATCATCCCTACTCAAGTGCCCATCATCTATCTCTTGCATTACCCAAGTATCCTTCCATATTTTCTTTTCCGCTTTTAGTCTTGTCTTCTCCAATTTGATCTTTTTTTTTAATCCTCACCCAAGGACATTTTTCCATATTTTGTTCAGATAGAGTGGGAGGGGGGGAGGGGGGGAGAGAGAGAGGGGGGGGGCGAACATCGACGTTGAAAGGGACACATCGAGTGGTTGCCGCCTGCATGACCCAACCAGGGCGGGGACAAACTGCAACCAAAGGTACATGACCTTAGCGGGAACCGAACCCAGGTCTCTCTGGACCGCAGGCCGACGCTCTAACCGCCGAGCCAAACCGGCCAGGGCTCCAATTTAATCTTTATGTTGCTACCAAATTAGTTCTTGAAATAATTTTTTTTATTGTAAAAGTAATACACGTAAGACAATTTTTTTCCTCACCTGAGGATATGTTTATTGTTTATTTTAGAGAGTAAAGGGGAGGGAAAGAGAGAAAGAGAAACATCAGTGTGACAGAAACATCTCAGTTGCCTCCTGTATATGTCCCGACTGGGGATTGAACCCACAACCTTAATATGTGCCCTGACTGTGAATTGAGCCCACAACCTTTTTGGTATAGACAATGCTCCAACCTAGCCACCTGGCCAGGTCTACACTTAAGCAATTTAAAAAATACAGATAAACAGAAAAGGAAAGAAGACTTACTCATACTGTTTCTACCCAGAGATAATCACGGTGAACATTTTGTAAGATATCTTGCTAGTCTTTTCTTAGGACATGTTTTTTAGTTGTTTAAAATGGGGTCATATGGAGGGATGGATATATGCATAGATGTTATGATATATCAAGTAGAATAAAATGTTGATGATAGAATATAGGTATAAGTATACAACTCATTGTAAAATTTTTTCAATGTTTCAAGATGCTTGAATTTTTTTTTTTTAAATCCTCACCCGAAGCCCTGACCAGTTTGGCTCAGCGGTTAGAGCGTCAGTCTGCAGTCCCAAGAGACCCGGGTTCGGTTCCCTTTAAGGGCATGTACCTCGGTTGCAGTTTGTCCCCGGCCCTGGTTGGTCGTGTGGGTGGCAGCCACTCGATGTGTCCCTTTCACGTCGATGTTTCTCTCTCTCTCCCTCCCACTCTACCTGAACAAGAAATGGAAAAATGTCCTCGGGTGAGGATAAAAAAATAAATAAATAAATAAATAAATCCTCACCCGAAGATTTTTTTTCCATTTTTCTACAGACAGAGTGGAAGGGAGGGAGGGAGAGAGAGACGACAGACAGACAGACAGACAAAGAGAAACATCGATGTGAGAGAGACACATCTACCGGCTGCCTCCTGCGCAACCCCAACCAGGGCTGGGGACCAAACCGTAACCGAGGTACATGCCCTTGACTGGAAATGAACCTGCGACTCTTTGGTCCGCGGGCTGATGCTCTAACCGCTGAACCAAACCGGCCAGGGTGGAAAACTATTTTTTAAGCATTCATTTTATGTAGAACAATCATTCTTAGTACAAGAAGTATAGTCCCTATTGGTCCATGGAAAGCCTTCAAGAGGCCCATGAATCTCTTTGAAAGTAAATGTATGATGTGGTGTTTTTGTGTATTTTTCTAGAGAAATTGCCAAGTCTCTTTTCTTTTTTTTTTTTTTATCCTCACCCGAGGACATTTTTCCATTTTTTGTTCAGGTAGAGTGGGAGGGAGAGAGAGGAACAGAGAGAGAGAGAGAGAAACATCGACGCGAAAGGAACACACCGAGTGGCTGCCACCCGCACAACCGACCAGGGCCGGGGACAAACTGCAACCAAGGCACGCGCCCTTAGCGGGAACCGAACCCGGGTCTCTCAGGACCGCAGGCCAACGCTCCAACCGCTGAGCCAAACCGGCCAGGGCGCCAAGTCTCTTGAAGGGGGTACAGGACTCAGAAAAGGTTAAGCAACAACTGATGTAAAATGAAGATTCCTGAACCATACCGCCCAGTAGAAATCACTTGTGTGTTTATGCCTAAGTAACCTAAGTATTTGGCTTCAGAAATTCCTGAACTTTATCAAACTCTATTTGGAAAAATTTCACCAATTGCCCCGGCTGGTTTGGCTCAGCAGTTAGAGTGTCAGCCGCGGACCAGAGAGTCCTGGGTTTGGTTCCCACTAAGGGCATGTACCTTGGTTGTGGTTTGTCCCCGGCCCCAGTTGGGGTTGTGTGGGTGGCAACCACTCGATGCATCTCTCTCTCACATCCATGTTTCTCTCTCTCTCTTCCTTCCTCTCTCCCTCCTGCTCTGTCTGAAGATAAATGCAAAAATGTTCTCAGGTGAGGATTTAAAAAAAGAAAGAAAGAAAAGCTCCACCAATCATGTTATGTTTAAAGGTTATATTTTAAAACCTAGCTCTTAGCCTGGCCAGTGTGGCTCAGTGGTTGAGCATCCACCCATGCACCAAGAGGTCGCTGGTTCAATACCTGCTCAGGGCACATGCCCAGGTAATGGGCCTGATCCCCAATGCGGGGTGTGCAGGAGGTAGCCAATTGATGTTCTTTCTCATCAATGTTTTTATCTCTCCCTTCTTCTCTCTAAAATTAATAAAGGAAAAAAAATTAAAAAACAAAACGAAACCTAGACCATAGTCAAATCAACCCTTTGGTGTAGATATTAAAATGCATACTGTTCTCTGTTTTGGAGTGGGCCACATGACCAAGCTTCAGCACCTATGAGGATGATGCACAAAGAGCTACACAAAAAAGCCCATCTTGGCTTCTGTGGGACTGTCCTATAGAGAGTTAAATATATCTGACATTTGTGGTTTCCTTGGCCTGCAGGCTCACGTGATGGTTCTATGGGACTTTGGGAGGTCACAGATGATGTGTTGACCAGAAGTGATGCAAGGCACAGTGTGTCACAAGTCCCTGTGTATGCTCACATCACTCACAAGGCCTTAAAGGATATCCCCAAGGAAGACACAAACCCTGACAACTGCAAGGTCCGTGCTCTGGCCTTCAACAACAAGAACAAGGTATGAGCTTACCAAAGGTTCCTTGAAGTCTATTCCTCTTGCTTCAACTTCTTGGCTTATGTCTTAGAAGATATGCTTTACTTCTCCTTCCCCAAGTGGGTGCTTGCTGCATAGCTTGGTTCTGAGCCCACAGAGCACCTCTTAAAGGCTAAATAATGGATGTTGATGGGAAATTTTAACAGATTATGAAACCCACCCTTTGGAGCTCTGCTATATTTCTCTGTATGGTCCATATTTAGTGGGTCACTCTAATTTAACTGTCTCTTATTTGTATATGCATTTGCAGGGGTTCTATTTTGGGTGTGATTTTCATATATGCCTCTGAAAGCAATCACTTTTCTTTTTAGTATTCAATTTATTTTGACTCTTCACGTCCTCTTTTGAACACTGCCACCAGATCTTACCTAATTATTATATTAGATCTCCTGAAACTGGGGTATTAACTAGTGTTGGGATGGAGACCCCGAGCCAGAAAATGAGAAAGGCTTCTCCCACAATCCAAATCAGGCCACAATTTGAAGAATAGTTCCCTTAGCCTTCTGTCTCCCTTCCATATTTATGGCTTAGGGCCAGAATTATCTTGCCTAGTTTAGACCTTCCACTTATAGAAGCTCTCACAGTGAGACTCACAAAATTGTCCTTCATGTGTGTGCTCTGCTTTGCGAAACAGGATGTCATGGGAATGATTGCATAGTAAGGGCTTTTTGAATCATGGTTATCTATGATTATTGCTAGAAACTGGAATTGCTTCTTGAGTTTTCTCAAGAAGCAGCATCAATTTAATAAGCTGTCCAGCTGCATTCCATAGGGCTGATAATGAGATGATACTCCCTGGCACCCAGCTGGAATCATCACAAGATAGGAATGAAGAATGGGAGAACTGGAACTTCAAGGTCTTCCCCTGCTTACTGTTGTATATTAGTCACTACAGGTTAGAACATAACCTGTTTTTTATTACTCTTATAGGAATTGGGAGCAGTATCTCTGGATGGCTACTTTCATCTCTGGAAGGCTGAAAATACACTATCTAAGGTATGAACATAACTTAGTAGTTTTACCTATAATTTTACCTTATGGTTAAATTACTGTAATTCTCTCTGAGCCTTTTCCTTCTTGTTTAAAGCATCAGTGCTCCAAGGGTCTGGGTATGTGGCTACCCTGTGCATGAAATCCTGAGTCTGGCATGCCTCTCATAAAAGTCTTTAAAAGAGATCAGAGGGGAGCAGTTCTTTCACATTGCGGGAACTTGCTGAGAGGCTCCTTTAAGAAGCAGTCCCCCGATCCACAATGGATTTAAGCATTTGCTTATGGATTGTTGACTCTGGCATGTTGTGAGTACAGGAAAACCTAAATGTTACAAACCATTGGCAACTGAAGATCAATTAAACTAAGATAAATCATCTCTGAAATAATCATATAAGGTAATAAGAATATGGATTTAATTTATATTTCCAAGCAACTTTTGCATAAAGTTAAGCCTACCTGTGGATCATTGGCTTCTTCTCATCCCAAAGACCTTTGCTACTTGTTACTTCTATGATAAACTCTTTTTCAAGAGGAATCAGAGCCTCAGGAATTATTGCTTCCTTCATGTCTTAGTAGTTTTTTAACTCCATTTGCTTGGTGCCTTACATACACTAGGCAACCACTAAGAATTGGCTGGATGACAAGGATCCAGGGTTAAGACTGATTGGGTTTACCTGGGGTTGAGCCAGTCCCAGTGCCTTCTGTAGTGTACAACCCCCATACAATTGAGGAGTTAGGCTGAGGGTAGCCAGAATTGAGCCCCTTTGTCCAAAGAGCAATGAGAGAGGTGGTGGCTCTTCCTGGCAAAGAAAACAGAGTGGGATCTTGGTTTTAGTGCCCTGGGTTATGGGAAACAACCTGTAGGTCTTGGCCTTTCTCTCTACTTCTGATTATTCCAGCTTGACCTTTTCCCCTAACCAATCCTATTCAGTACCTAGATCTTATTGTTTATTATAGTCACCCTCTCTTTCTCTTACATACCTAGTTGTGGAACAGGGTGTTATTTCCTTAATTGAGGCTTATATTTTTGTCTCTGACTTTGTGTCCTTGTTTATGAGGGAAAGCCCAGAAGTGGGCATCTAAGAACAATGCCCTGTCTTATGTTCTTTGGTAATGCTGTGAGTGCATCTCTCTTCTCTGTGTTTTCAGCTCCTCTCCACCAAACTCCCCTATTGCCGTGAGAATGTGTGTCTGGCTTATGGTAGTGAATGGTCAGTATATGCAGTGGGCTCCCAAGCTCATGTCTCCTTCTTGGATCCACGGCAGCCATCGTACAACATCAAGTCTGTTTGCTCTAGAGAGCGAGGCAGTGGTAAGAGTCCCTGTGTTTTTTGTTTGTTTTTACCCTCAACTGAGGGCATTTTTCCATTTTTTGTTCAGATAGAGTTGGAGGGAGGGGGAGAGAGAGAGAGAAACGTTGACGTGAAAGGGACACATCGAGTGGTTGCCACCCACACAACCAAATCAGGGTTGGGGACAAACTGCAACCGAGGTATACACCCTTAGCGGGAACTGAACTGGGGTCTCTCTGGACTGCAGGCCGACGCTCCAACCGCTGAGCCAAACCAGCCGGGGCAAGAGTCCCTGTGTTTTGGTTTGTTTTCAATTATAGTTAAGATGTTCACATTTCAGAACAGAGAGACTAATGAATGTAATGAGAGTAGTAAGGGAAAGAATAAATAGCCTTTGCCGGAATAATATCTGCAATGAATAGTTTTAAAATATTTTGGTTACTATTACAGGATAGGTTTTATACCTAATAAGGAAATACTGATTCCACAAATGTTATCCAGCAGCTCTTATGTGCCAAGAAACGTCTTCATATCTCATGCACTTACTTGATCCACAGATGCATTTTCCCTATGACCCAGAGTGGTTAGGCGGCTTGTTTTAAATTCACACTGTGAGAGACAGTGCTTCTTTGGGTGCTTCAGTTCTAGACTGTTTGCCACCCTTATAACATGCTTACTACCAGATAAAGACCTCTGGCAGTGCTTCAGTAGTGGTTTTAGGTCAAATACAAGGAAGTCTTTATTAAATGTAGTGATCTGTAAAGATGCACATCACCTTCAGTTTCAGTATAGGTTGGAAACATAGTGGAAAAGAGCTTAGAGTTATGAACGATGACTCTAGAGTGACTCTAGGGGAGGCAAGGAGGTTCAGAGTGCACTTATGGTCTCAGGCATCTTGAGCATCATCAGGTGTCTGGCCCTTCTCTGAGGCTTATATGGGAAGTTTCCTGTTAGGTGTATGGCATCAGGGTTCTCCAGCTTTCTCATGATCTATGCCTGCCATGGGAAAGGCACTGTCTGATAGTTGAGGGTACCATGTGAACTCAGTGTCAGAGAAATTCTGGCTAGCAGACTATTAAAGTACACATTCCCCCTGCTCATTGCCCTTTACTTTTTTCTCTCAGGGATCCGATCAGTGAGCTTCTATGAGCACATCATCACTGTGGGCACAGGGCAGGGCTCCCTGCTGTTCTATGACATCCGAGCTCAGAGATTCCTAGAAGAGAGGCTCTCGGCTTGTTATGGGTCCAAGCCCAGACTAGCAGGAGAGAATCTGAAACTAACCACTGGCAAAGGCTGGCTGGTGAGTAAGCCCACATTCTTATTGGACAGTGACAGAAAAATTGTCTTTGCTCCACCTACCCACTCCCACTCCCACACTACAACCCACTTACATTTTCACTAGTAAGAGACACTCCTTAGACCAGAGGCACTTACACATGACTTTGCTTTTGTGTCTGCATATTCGTGGGAAAACAGGCCCAATAAGGCACACTGGTACATCTAGGGTTTCCCCCTAGGTGATAATAGAGCTGGAAGGAGAAGGAACCTCCTGCTGAGGCTGCCAGTGAATTATTAAACCATTTGGTTCCAGCTGTCTTGAGCCGACTTTCAATTTGTATAGCAATTCAGGCTGTTCAGTTCCTCCCTAATGTTCAGTTGGGAAAATGAGGCCCCTATTTATATAAGCATCAATCTCCTAGCATCAGGTTATAGGTACAGGATCCTCTACTCTTTTTTTATTTTTCTTTATTGATTTGAGGGAGAGAGGAAGGTAGAGGAAGATAGAGATAGAAACATTGATGAGGGAGAACATCGACTGGCTGCCTCCTGCATTGGGGAGCAGGCCCATAACCTGGGCATGGGCCCAGACCGGGAATCGAACCTGCGACCTCTTGGTGCTTGGGTGGACACAACCACTGAGCCACACCGGCGGGGCCAGGACCCTCTACTCTTAGACCAGAAAGCATTCCTGTACCTTCCTTCCCCTATTCCTGCCCCATGGCCTAGAGGTGCTAACAGAGTCTCTTTCTCTTCCCATAGAATCATGATGAAACCTGGAGGAATTACTTTTCGGACATTGATTTCTTCCCCAATGCTGTTTACACCCACTGCTATGACTCATCCGGAACAAAACTCTTTGTGGCAGGGGGTCCCCTCCCTTCAGGGCTCCATGGAAACTATGCTGGGCTCTGGAGTTAATGACAACTAACTCTCTCCCAAAATGCAGAGATTTACACTAACTTCCATCTTCTGTTTCCTTGTTTCTTCTTTTGATTTTTTCCAATTGTGTGAGGCCCTCATATTTTAGTGGGAACACCAGAGTTTGCCTATGGTTTAGGCACTTGACAGAAAGAAGCTCTATATAGAAACCTGAAGGTTTTGTTTGTTTGTTTTTTCCCTTTTGGTAATCAGAATTTTACTTTACTATGTTTTTTTCTTTCTGGCTTCTCAACCAAATGTTTTTAATCCCTATTTGTATTTTTTTTTTTTTTCAAGTGGCACATACTTTTCCCTTTCTGATTTCTTTAGGCTGACGTAGTCATTCTCACCCTTACTTCACTCTTGAGAGAGGTAGGGCTCCTTTACAATTATGTGGTTGCTGTCAGACTTTCTGTGAAAGTTTGGGGGCTGTGTGTGCATGTGTGCGTGTGAACTTGTGTACCTGTAAGTACTGTGTGTTACTGAAATTCCCTGGAGTGAGGATTACTTGTAATTAAAATATTTATAAAAGAAACAACTTTGTTCACAGAGTCCAGCTTTGAGACGGACTAGTCTTTATTCTTGTTTTTTGAAGTCTAATAACACTGATTATAGAAAGTAAAAACAAAGAGAAATCAGGAAAACCTTTTGAGTTAGATTATAGACTTCCTGGGGACTCTTGTGCCAGGACTTCATAGTGATCCATCCCCTACCTATCTTCCCATCTGTGTGTCCCCCAGGTGAGAACACTTCCATTTATGTGTCACTTCAACTTATCTGCTTAGCCAGTGGCCACTCTCCTAAAACATTAATCTCCATCCAAATGAAGCTCTAGAGGCTGCAGAATGCTTGGTAGAACTTGGTAAAGAGAATCCCCATCCCAACCTTTCTTGCCCTCCCCATGAACAAGACCAGATCAGGTATCTCAGGGGCCTGGAGATGGAGGCCTCAAGTCAGCTAAAATTAACATACTTGGTCCCATTGGCTTTGAGGGTAAACTTCTCCTTTGCCTTCTAGTCTTCACAATGGGTTTTACTTTTGTTTTCTAAATTGGGTTTGGTCCAGGAGGGTGGGGATGAGTAGAGGTTTTATCTGTGTGTAGAGAGTGCTTCATGTGTGGAATGTTTGTTTTCTTAATACAGTGGGGCTGGGGTTGAAGCCACCTCTCTCATTCTGATGGCTCAGCCCTGGGACAGTGATGGGGTGGCCTACAGCCACCAGCATTATGCATGTTAAAAGCATTGATGTGATTAGTAATTTGTTCCTTCCTTGAACTGTCTAGTCGGAGGTTTTTAAACTTGCAGGGAACTGACTGATTGTGATGTCCAGTTATTCCTTGCTTTTTATGCATCATGTTGCAGATAATAGCTGTTTCCACCCACAAATACTCCTTCATTTGAAGTGCATATTCTGCTTCTGTCAACAGCTTATTCTGGGGAAAGGAAAAGTCTTATTTATGACTGCACTCCAGGATCTAAGTTGCTCTCCTAGTCATCCCTATCTGTTCCAGGTATAAGTGGGGAGATTGAAAAGAGTGTCTTCTTGATGATGGGGGCTGGTGGGAGGGAAGTCAGCAAGTCATCATATATCTTGGCGGTACAGTACATACACCACAGGTTCTAGAATTCTCATCTTCAAATCTAGAGAAATAGGTGCTATAAATGGAATTAAGCAAAATGCTGGATGCTGTAGCTCTTTTAATTGTCTTAATTTTTTTCTATTAAACTACAGGCTGTAGATTTCTTAGTTCTCACAGAACTTCTATCATTTTAAACCAACTTGTATATTAAAAAAAAAAAGATAAGTTCTTAAGTAGGATGTTTTGTACTGTTGTCAGACCCTCTTCTGTGATGGGTAATGCGTTTGATTCAGTTTTTGTTTTCAAAAATGTAGCACTTGACTTTTTGCCAAGTAAAAAAAATAAATATTATTTCAGTGCAAAGTGGTTTGAGTGAGTATATATAGCCAAGAGGCAGCAGGAAAAAAGCCCTAAATAACTGGTTGGGGTGCTAGGATTGCTTAGAGCAGAAGGGAAACACAAGTGTTCCCTCAAGGTTAAATGTAGGTCAGGTACAAAATCTAAGACCTGCTTGCTCTTAGTCCTAACCCTGGCCCAAGATAAGTTACTTTGGGATCAGTTTGGGAGTGGATATGCCCACTGGAAGTATTTTGGTGCTTGAGAAAACATACAGCCTGGCCCTGGCTGGGTAGCTCAGTTGCTTATAGCATCATTCCTTACCCAAGGATATTTCCCCATTTATTTTCAGATAGAGTGGGAGGGAGGGGTAGAGAGAGAAAAACATTAACGTGAGAGACACATCAATTGGTTGCCTCCCACATGACCCTGACCAGGGCCAGGGTCCAAACCGCAACCGAGGTATGTGCCCTTGACTGGAATTAAACCTGAGACTCTGGTCTGTAGGCCGACGCTCTAACCACTGAGATAAACCAGCCAGGGCCAGCCTGTATTTTTTTGATACACCAAGGTTACAGGTTTAGTCCCCAGTCAGGGCACATATAAGAATCAACCAATGAATACATAAATAAGAGGAACAACTAGTCAGTGTTTCTCCCTCTCTCTGAAATCAATTAAAATTTTTAAAATGTTTTTGATTTTTTTAGAGGGAAAGAAACATCAATTTGTTGCTCCACTCATTTATGCATTTATTCATTGATTCTTGTATGTATCCTGACTGGGGATCGAACCTGAAATCTTGGTATATCTGGATAATGCTCTCACCAACTGAACTACTGGCCAGGGCTATAATTTATTAACTATTTCATTATTGTTGGAATTTAGTCTATGTATCAGGCAGGGCTCTCTAGAGAAAGAGAACCAGAAAGATAACATCCTTCTGATACATACATATCGGATATATGTATATTTTTAAATATGTTTTTTTATTAATTTTTTTAGAGAGTGAGGATGGGAGAAAGAGCAAAACATTGATTGACTGCTTCCTGCATGCTCCTTACCAGGAATTGAGCCTGCAACCTGGGCATGTACCCTGATAAGGAATCAAACTGGGACCTCTCAGTCCATGGGACAACACTCAATCCACTGAGCCACACTGGCAGGGCCAATTTAAAATTTTTTAACAAAAAATACAGGCCGGCCCTGGCCGGTTTTCTCAGTGGTTAGAGCATCAGCCACACACCAAGGAGTCTTAGGTTTAATTCCAGTCAAGGGCATGTACCTCGGTTGCGGTTTTGACCCTGGCCCTGATTAGGGTTGTGTGGGAGACAACCAATTGGTGTGTCTCTCTCACGTTAATGTTTCTTTCTCTGTACCCCTCCCTCCCACTATATCTGAAAATAAATGGGGAAATATCCTTGGGTGAGGATTAAAAATGAAAAATACAAGCTGAAGATGAGGGAATGTGCTGGTCCTTGCTCTGAATTACTATGGATTTCAGCAAACCATTTCCTCTTAGATAAACCAGGATTGGTGACAGGCCCTGTCTGCTTCAGTGGAAGGTGCCCTGAGAATGACTGTGAAAGTGGGTGCGCAGTGCTCTGGGAACAGGACATCATTTTTTTGAGGTTGGAACGGTCTCTACCCTTTGTAAGAGGACACAGTGACCATTGTGAATGTTGCTCTTCCCAGAGCCCATTTTGGGCTGTAGCTGAGAAAAAGGCAGACTGCTAAATCATACCATCCTCCTCATAGCCATCTCTGGAAGACCTATCAGGGCTGGGCCACGGAACAAGGCAAGGCAGTACCTATTTCTCTGTCACATGGCACTTGTTCCTTTCCAGGACAAACTGGATACAGCTGCCCTTTGCACCTGCCTTTAAGAGACTGGTTACAAACATGACTCACACAGGCACCTACCTATATGATTAAAGGCTGCAAAACAGGAAAGGGGGTGGGGTGAATGAACTGAAGTAATTGAGAGGGCTTCCTAGAAAAAAGTCACATTCGAAAGGGATTGGAATTAGTCTTTGCCAAATGAGTTGTTTTTAGAATTCCCAATCCATGGAATAGTCATCGGTGTTTGCAAAATGTTCCGCAGTCAAATTATTTTGAGGGAAAATACAGATTAAAACAAAGACATGCTTCTTCACAACCTCAGGTTTTTGGTTACTGTGGGACCCATGTTCATGGAATATGCTCAGAGAAAGGTGACAGTATGTAGGGTGGGCCTGGCCTGGGCCTCTGGTCTCTGTGGAATTTTGGCCCTACTCCCATTTTCCAGTGAAGTATGTATTACAGTAGGGCTTTGTGGACTTTATGGGGTCCCTCCCTTTCCTGCCAGCAGTCTCTACTCCCAGGCTAATGAAAGAACTTCCTTGTTCTCCTTCAGGACATACCTCATTCTAAATAATCTACTGGTTCCTCTGGTTATCCTTTGGGTCCTTTTGCAGAGGCTTTGGAACTTCATTTTTTGCTCCAGGTTCCCTGCCTCTGCCACTCCAAGAGTTGATTAGTATTGATCTGGCCCTCAGTGTTTCGAATAAAGCTGAAGAATCCCAGTCCAGGCCTCTCTGATTCAGCTGCCACTCAGATGGTTCCTAACGCAGGTACCCAGGAATAGCAAGTCAGGGTGTCAAGACCCTTTGCTTAGCATTGGGGGTTAACCTTTGTAAGAGCCTAGGATGCAAGTGTGTGTGTGTTTTCAGTTGGCTGGTGTCTGGGAAACAACAATATTGGGGGGTGTTGGAGAGGAGGGAGAGGAAAGATCATTCAATGTTACTTGCTTTTAGACATATTTCTTGTTAGTGTGATGAGCTGGCTGGAAGCTTTGGGAGGATAGAATTATGGGCTTCTAATTCTGGAACTGCTGTGAAGACAAAAGAAAGTTTGGGTTTCTGCCCTGGCCAGTTTGACTCAGCAGTTAGAGGCATCAGCCTGCAGTCCAGAGACCCGGGTTCGGTTCCCACAAATGGCGCATACCTCGGTTGCAGTTCGTCCATGGCCATGGTTGGTCATGTGGGTGGCAGCCACTCGATGTGTCCCTTTCACGTCGATGTTTCTCTCTCTCTCTCTCTCCCTCCCTCCCACTCTATCTGAACAAAAAATGGAAAAATGTCCCCGGGTGAGGATTAAAAAAAAAAAAAAAGGTTTGGGTTTCTAAGCTTGGTTCTTCTGCCCTCACTTCAGCTCCTCCAAAGAATAATCCAGAGACACAGATGTGAAAAATTTATTTTTATACTACTACTAGAGAGAGAGAGGTGTAAACTGTACTCACAATAGGGTTGTAAGCTCTTATGAATCAGCTCCTCAAAACAGAGGTGTGAAAAAAAAAAAACAGAGGTGTGAGCTGTCCTCTCAAATTCCCTGGGTTGAGCCTCATATCTGAATACTCCTCTTGATAAGTGTATAATTGTCGAAGTCAGAATTCTAAAAGGATAATAATACTCATTAACTGAGCAGAGTTACATGTTTACTGCATTTCTTGTTACACAGTAATCAGAGCTGTAATTAACATCTCTAATGCTATAGACAGGAAGAAAACAAATGATCAACTCCTACCTTAAAGAAAATAAAATTAGCTCTGGCTAGTTTGGCTCAGTGGTTAGAGCGTCACCCATGGACCAGAGAGTCCTGGGTTTGGTTCCTGCTAAGGGCACATACCTTGGTTGCACTTTGTCCCCAGCCCCATTGGGGTCATGTGGGTGGCAACCACACTATGTGTCTCTCTCACATCCATGTTTCTCTTTCTCTTCCTCCCTCTCTCCCTCCTGCTCTATCTGAAGATAAATGCAAAAAAAAAAAAAATTTTTTTTTAAAAAGAAAGAAAATAAACTTTCCTCACTCATAGCTACTTTTTTCTTAGCTGGACAGAAAATGAGGCTTCTTGGTTCTCCAGGGCCAAAGGCCATTTGAAGATTGCAGAAAACACTCTGGTGGGTATCATGGCCTGAGTTCTGGTGGTTTAGGCCCTGAAATATGTTGCTTACTTGAGAAACCTCCCTCATCTTCACCACCCGCACCCCTCCTGCCCTTCTAGGCCTTTCTGCTAAACAAAATTATCATCCCAAACACCATGCTTAAGGTTTCACTATTAGATCTTATTTTCCTTTATCGGGGGTACGGGGATGTTATATCACCTGATTAAAGATAATATTGTTACCCTGGCCAGTTTGGCCATTAGAGCATCGGTCTGTAGACTGAGTCTCGGATTTGATTTGGTCAAGGGCACTACCTTGGTTGTGGTTTAGTCCCCAGCCCTGGTCAGGGTTGTATGGAAAGGGGACCAATCGATGTGTCTCTCACGTGGATGTCTCTCTCTCTCTCTCTCTCTCTCTCTCCCACTCTATCTGAAGATAAATGGAAAAATACCCTCAGGTGAGGATTAAAAAAAAAAAAAAAAGAATGGTTGTCATAACATTAGGAAAAGAAAAAAAAAAACTGGAAGTGTCTTGTCTAATAAGAAAATGGTTAAAAAAAAAAAAAAGCCCTGGCCGGTTTGGCTCAGTGGTTAGAGTGTCGGCCTGCGGTCCTGAGAGACCCGGGTTCGGTTCCCGCTAAGGGCGCGTGCCTCGGTTGCAGTTTGTCCCTGGCCCTGGAATGTGTTCCTTTCACATCGATGTTTCTCTCTCTCTCTCTCTCTCTCTGTTCCTCTCTCTCCCTCCCACTCTACCTGAACAAAAAATGGAAAAATGTCCTCTGGTGAGGATAAAAAGAAAATGGTTAGCCCTGGCTGGTTTTGCTCAGTGGTTAGAGCATCGGCCCACAGGCCAGAGAGTCCCAGGTTTGGTTCCCACTAAGGGCGTGTACCCTGGCCCGGTTGGGATCATGTGGGTGGCACCAGTCGATATGTCTCTCCCACATGGATGTTTCTCTCTCTGTCTTCCTCCCTCTCTCCCTCCCACTCTATCTGAAGATAAATGCAAAAATATCCTCGGGTGAGGATAAAAAGAAAAAAGGAAATAGGTAAATGAAAATGTAAAATATTCATGGGTCGATCTTATCACAAAAAGAGAGACCACCAGACATTATGTGCCTTTTGAT